TGTGATCAGAATTCCTGGATGAAGGCCGCTTCTGATCAGTAATATTAATGCATAATTAATATTATCGCTTAATCTTGATTGAATCCTTCGGGTCACATCCAAGCAACCAACGAGCCGAAGCGATGAATTAATCCAGAAAGAATTAATGAATGAACCGAGTAATAGTTATTTAGACGTCGGGAATTCGAGCTTAGAGCGTCGAAAGTCGAGTCGAAAATAGTAAAATACGAGATGTGCAAATAGGAATAAATTCAAATATTTCCCAAAATACCCCTAGCATCGGAGTGCCCCGTGCAATCCGAGTGTTAGGGCCACAATGCGTAGCATGGTGGCTAGCATGCGGACCAAGCCGAGCCTTAGCTGGCTGGTGCGTGCTAGCATACCTATGATAGAAACCAAGGCAAGCCTCGGCAGCAGCCCGCACTTGGAGTGCGCGGCTTGCTGGCCGAGTGCAGCAGCAGCCCGCAACTCATGGGTGCGGGTGGCTGGGCCGCGACTAAGGGAAGAACAAAAGGAAGCTCACTTAGGTGCCTTGATGCCCAAGTGGGAGTGGACATGTGGCGCAAGGTGAAGGAGAGAGTGGGGAGCAAGTTTGGTCCCCCCTCTCTAAGTGGTCTTCTCTCGCTCTCTGATGTATAGTTGACACTTGTTGATTTATTACTAGCTTGCTTAAATTATTTTATTTTGCCTTTAAATTAAAATGTTAAAATCTTACTATCCCACATTGATGAGAGAGACAATCATACTCTCATCATTTCCTATAAATACCTAAGTAAGGGCATTGGATATGATACTTGAGTAAGAGTTAGAAAAGGGATCACTAGTAGTGAAAACCTTTGAACTCAAGAGTTGGAAAAGGTATCACATTTTGTGAAAGCCTTTGAACTCAATTATTCGGGTTTATCGGTCGGTTCTTGCTAACCCCAAGACATTGGACGTAGTCGGTGATCGTTGTTGCGGGTGGATCATCGTTGGAGGCTTCGTAATTTCGACGCTAGCTTTCAAGTAAGAGCCCAAGTGGACGGGCGAAGCACGCTCCAAAGGTAATCTTATTATCTTAATAATGTTGTTAAGTTAATTATGTTTATGATTTTATTTATAACGAGTGCGGTCTTATTTTTGGGTTTGTTTCCGCGGTGAGTTGGACTCACCAAACCCCAACACTCAAATCAATCAGAATCAAATGCTCCTCAATCAACCACAATCACAAGACCAATCACAATAATACCACACCACTTTCAAGAAAACCACCACACATTCACCAATCTACTACCAAGAATCTCAAATTCAAAGTTTTTAAAAGAGCCACCAAAAATTATCAAATATGCTAGATAATCGACAACAACATAATGTGAAGTAAATTCAATTACCAAACAACATACATGAGCATAAATCAAATTAATCACCATATTCAACTAAAACCATACTATTACTATTCACAAGTGTGAACAATCAAATTGTCAACTAAAATTCATGTAATTATGCAAAATAAGAATAGAGAAGATGATTATACCATATAAGAAGCAAGATTGATCAACTTTCAAACCTAAAATTCCTCCAAACAGAACAACCCCAATTTGCTCTTCAATGGATGAAAGAGATTAGAGAAGAAGAAATGGAGGAAAGTAGTATGTGTGTTTGTGAATTTAATGAAATTTGAGTATAAATTTGTGAGGAAAATTTGATATTTGAGTAAAGAATTTAGAAGAATGAGGTTGGGGTTTCGTGGGTAGAGAGAGATAGGGTACGCACATTGGTGAGGGTAAGAGGGAAATGAGAAAAAGAAAGAAGAAAGAAGAGGATAATGCCTTGGCAAGGAACCTGCGTTGCCGTGTACGCAGGCGGTGCGCCCGCGCCCCCGCTTCTTTGCCTTGCTTCTTTCTGTTGGTGAGCTCGTTTATAGGATCTATGCATCTTTATCATCGTGGGATTGTTGAACCCACTAAACATATCAGTTTTAAAATGCCTTGACAGTGGCTTCAACATTCCAAATTAATGAGAGCACTATAATGAGCTCCCCAAGCACAAACTTCCTTCATATTGAAGCACTCTTTTTCAAAACTTACCTCCTTGATTAAATTACCCATATGACTCGAAATATAAGATAATCGTGCATACTCTGATCATCAATCACGAAACTCCTTCTCATTATGCTTATGTTCGCGCAAGGTTTCCTATTCCCATGAGAACAGCCTATAAATCCAAATGCAAAAAAAGTGAAAGAAGGAAAAGAAAATATAAGAAATATAAGACAGATAAAATCAAAAGAAAAGGTTAGAAAATCGGTTTCCTCCCAAGAAGCGCTTGCTTAAGGTCCCTAGATCGACCCTTCCATTAAATCATAAAGGGTCAAAGAAAACCACTTTGTCCAAAGCGGTAGAGGGTTAAACATCATGACACTCTTTGGCAACTCCACTTCCTTCTTAGATGCATTCTCTTGCTTTGAAACTCTGACTCAAGCTTGTTTTTTTTCAACTTCATTTTCTTATTCATGAAAGCTCTCTTTTCTTGTTTGTCTTCTTATTCCTTGTATTGGATGGTTTTTCACCATCAACACATTTGGAGTCATCTTCAACCTCCACAAGTTTTAAGGAATCCATTTTATCTTCACTAACCATCTTTCTTTCAACACTTATAGGAACATCATCACAAGCTACAAGAACATCGATTGTACAAGACACAAACACGCAAACATTATCATTAAAACGAGGTGAATTGATACACATAATACCTTTCACAAAAGACAAAGACTCATGCATTGACTTCAGCTCAAAACTTGCCTTGTTATTACCAACACATAATGTAATAAGGTGACCTTTCACATCAATCAAAGAAACCGAAGTAGCTAAGAATGGTCTCTCTAAGATAATAGGTATATTGTCATCTTCCACAATAATTGTAAACTCACCTATTCTAAAGGGATCATACTCAAATATTCCCTTAGGAAACTCAATAGAACGATCGGCCAATTGTAAGGTCATGTTAGTTGGAAGAAGCTCACCTAACTTAAGCTTCTAAAAATGGAATAACGAGTAATGCTAACACTACCACCAAGATCACAAAGAGTATTTTGAGACATTTTTCCATTAATCTTACAAGGGATTGAAAAATTGTCCTGATCTTTCATCTTTTTCGGTAAATTATTGTTGATAAAAGCACTATAACACTCCCCAACTTTCACCAAATCAACCTCATTACACTCTCTTTTTCCACTCAAAATTTCTTTAAGGAACTTAGAATATCTTGGAATTTGTTTCAAAGCATCAGTGAAACGGATAGAAAGATGAACTTCCATATGCATATCAAGAAATCTCCCAAATTGCTCATCAATCTAGTTTCTCAAGAACTTTTTAGGGTATCTAAGTTTGGGTTTGATCACGTCCTCATACTCTCCTTCTTTGACACATCAAGATCTTTTTTCCCACATGAATCACTCACCTTCTCACCCTCCTCACTCTTCCCAAAAACAATCTCTTAAATCACTTTACCACTCCTAGTGGTGATAAAATATACTAGTTTCGTAGGATTAACTCATTGAGAGGGTAAAGAGGTAATGCTAGCACTCTCGTTCAAGTAGGGGTTTCAATTCGGTTTTCGGTTTGGATTTAGGCCAAATTCAATCCGATCTGAAATATAATTTTGTTTTCAGCTGTTCAATCAGATCTGATCCGAATTACTCTTCCAATCTAATCCGAATTAAAATTTTGTTATTTAAATTTGATCCAAAAATCCGAATTAAAATACGTCATTAATAGCGTCTAATAAACTAGTACAATAATATAAAGATAAGAATGCAACTATAACAAAACATATTCTCCAATACTTATGATTAATACAAATCTTGAAAATAGTCTTGATTAACATAAATTATTTAACATCAAGTCAAATTAAATTTTCAAAACAAGTAGTAAAATAAAAATTATACACGTTTAGGGCTTGTTTAGCATCGTTTTTTGTTTTCGGTTTTCTGTATTTTTGAAATCAAAATACCAAAAGCAGGAAACAAGAAAAGGTGTTTCCACTTTTTAGTTGCATGTTATCAAATTTATCATGGTTTTAATAAGTTTGACTATTTTTTAATTCATTTTATGAAATATATCATGTAATTTTGAAAAACGAAAAACCAAAAAACCAGATTACCAGTGTAATGCCAAATGAACCCTTAATTATAAATTTCGGTTTTCGGTTTTATTTGGATCTGACTAAGGTCAATCCAATCCAATCGGAAAATCTGAATTTTCAATAAATCTCAATCCGATCCGATCCGAGTTTAAGTTTGGATCCGATCCAAATTGATAATTCGGTTTGGATTGGATGTGACTTCGATTTTTATCCAAATTATGGACACCCCAACCTTCAAATTGTTTACCAATTGGGTGATTTGTGTCTCAAGTATTTTATTGTGTGTCATCATTTCATTGATCTTTTTGTCACTTACCGACATGTAAGTGTTCAAATTTTCTGTCTGGTTCTCAATGATTACTTCGAAAGTAGTCATTGAAGATGAAGGTTTGTCATAGAATTGTCACCATTGCCTTGAGTTCTTGGAGAAAATCCGGGTGGGGGTCCCCTTTGGTTGTTGTTTTGAAAATGATGACCCCGATTTTGGTTGCTCCAATTACCCTGGCCTTGATTTTGCCATTGTTTTGGTGATGGTTACCATAGCCTTGATTTTGGCTTTAATTTTTGTACCCTTGACCTTGAATTTGACTATTATAGCCTTGATTATTATAGTTGTCTCGGAAATTTTTATATATTTGGTTTCTATAACCTCCATTTTGGTTATATTCACTACTACAAAAAGAGTGATTTTTGGACGCAATTGGTTCGACGCTGTTGAAAGGGCGTCAGTCTATAATTTTTGGTTCCGTCTTTTTGTGACGCTTTTTGAAGTCGGAAATTTTCTCGACACTTAAAAGCGTCAAGAAACTCACGTGCATAAGGTTGCCTGCAATTTTGAATTTTTTTAATGAAATAATTAGCGGGTTTGTGTTTCACCCTCAGTCGTAATAGGTTCCCAATTCAATTAAACTGCCAATCTATTCTTCTGCTCTCCTCTAGCTAATTAAACTTGGACTCGCTCCATCATCACTTTCATTAGTGACAAAATCTCAAATTTTAGGGGTTTTGTGGCTCATCAGTTTCTGGGTTAATTTCGGGGTTTTGGCTTGCTAAATTTCAAGGAATTTGGGGTTTTGTGGCTCGTCAGTTTCATCAATTTGAGGTATTAATTTACAATTTGCTGAACAATATTGTTGCTAGGTATGTATCTCTATCGTTTTTGGCACCTAATATATCACAATTCTTTAAATTTTTGTTAAAATTGGGAATTATTTGTTTGCATGTCTTCGATTTTGCGTTGGTGATGAAGAACAAGAATCAATCTCTTTTTGCGAGGTAATTTTTTGCCCTTACTAAGATAATTTAATTTCTTTTTATGTTGTTTTTTTTTTTTTTCGTGAATTCTCTTTTTAAATCCAAGTTTTCATGTTTTTTTTTTCAAATTGTTTTTTGGTTTTTGTTATGATTTTTATGGCGTTTTAGGGTTTTAGTTTGGAATGTTATGGGTTTTTTTATATGAATACTATTATAGGCTTTGAATTTTCTGGTTTTTGATATGAATTTTGTAGGCTTTGAATTTTATGGGTTTTAGTTTGTAGGCTTTGAATTTTATGGGTTCTAGATTATACCTGTAAAACAAACAATTGCTTCAAGCGTGGTCAACAATTTCAAACAATTGTTTAGCACGGCCAACCTTAGTAAAAGTCAATCACAAATACCATTTGTTTTTTGAATACTCCCTGTTTAAATCTACATAAACCATGGGTTTTAGATTGTTTAGCAAGGCCAACCTGTTTACCATGTGTTTTACAAATTTTAATACTCTGTTATTGAATCTAAACGGGAAATTATACAGTGTTAATTTAGTCAAATCAACATAAACATATTTTATCAAAAACAAAAGAAGAATAATCAACTTAAGATCATGAGCCACTTTATAATAAACCCAAGCAATATTATAGACTCTTGACTTGACAATTGCATCTTATACGTTATAATAAATACAATACTATGTAATTAGTATTGAAATAAAAGTAAATAATTCGATAGATAAATACCCGTAAAAACATGCACGCTCAACAACATGGAGGGCTAAAACTAAAATCCACAAATGTCCAATTTATACACCTGAAAGCCACATGCCCACACCCTATCAAGCAGCAAACCCTCAAAGGGAAAAAAAATAATAATACGGAGTAATAATTAGAAGAACAAGCATCTAAGACACAAAATACAAAGGCAATGAATATAATAAAGCATGATGTTATACAAGGTATAAATTTGTCATGGCGGCTTATGGAGTCACCATTCACCAGTGCTAAACAATTCTGTTTGGGTTCATCAATATAGCTTTAAAATTTATTGACTGTTCTCTTTGGCAGTAGTTAGGTTCCGTTCAGTATCACTATCAATTTATTATTTCATCTATTTCTAAATAATTTGATAAATCAAATATGGTTTTTGATATGAATTTTATGGGTTTTTGATATGAGTTTTCTTGTTTTTCTATGGTGATTTTGTGGCTGATGATTGCATTCTGTCTTCACATGCTCTACTCTTAGAAGCAATAGCCTACTGCCTCCCCTAGCCTAGTTCTCTTTCATTGCCTAAATTTTTTTAGCTCTTATTTTGGATCAAGAATTTGAAATATTGACAATTGCTCGGTGATGACAATTGCCTCTTAGAGGTAAAAGTAAGCAATGTATGAATTTACATAATTAACAGAAATTTATGTGCAGAAAGCTTACTTCTAAGGTGGAACACTGTTAAATAACTTGTCATAAATGATTTGCATTATGTTTAAACAACTCTATGATGTTTGGAGGGAAGCATGATCGAGGCTAAAATTTTTCTTTATAAACAGATATTTCCTTTGATGTTGTTGCAGCTGTAGATTTTCTGGTTGAGAGTTACATTTCGCTTGTGGTTTTAGACAAGCCAAAGTTTATTAAGGTACGATTTTCATTGCATCAAACATCGATATATCCATAATCTTGTCTGATTTTGTTATGGTTGAGTAATTGACAGTGAAAATGCAGTTGTACATCATCCTAAAAGTCTCAATTTTATACATTTTATATTTAGTCTATATATGCAGTCCTAGTAGACTCCTACTGATGTCTAGCAAAGATAGATTACCAAAATGGATGTGTGTGAGTTAGTTGGATTTGAATAGCCGCATGCCTTGACTTACCTTTTTTTATTCACTATCTACGACACTACATGTAAGGCCGTGGACAATTGTATTAAGGAATTTCAGAATTGTTGCATTTTGCCTTCCTATGAGCTCTCACTCATTCCCTTGCCTAATACTCAGGACCTGCTGTTGTATTGGTGCCTTGGTGCCTGTTTTCTATTTAACATATATGTATATCAAGGGTTTAATGTTGTATATTCTATTAAAGCCGGTGGTTATGAATATAGTGTTGTATACTCTATTTGTAAACTTTTTTTTGTTGTTGCATGTTTCTTTCTAATTTTCTTCTTTCACCCACAACAAGTTTGTAGGCTTGAATAACTTACTGTCATTGTTTTTGTTTGGCAATTAACTATATACTTCTTTGTAGACATGGATACTAGTTGGATTGATTTACCAAGAAGTGATCCTGGTTATTTTAAAGGTTGCATGAAATTCTTGGAACTTGCTAAAGAGACTCTTTTACCAAATACATGGGAAACTAAATTCCCATGTAATAAGTGCAAGTTAAATAAAACGAATTTTGTAGAAGAAGTTGGAGGGCATATTTTATTTTATGGTTTTTATAAAAACTATAGAAATTGAATATTTCATCGTAAAGATGAAGGGAGTAAGACCTATGATCTAAGTGATGATCAAGTGAATGCAGTAGGTCGAGATGATATGGACGGGTTACTAAGAGCAGCTTTTAGATTTAATACACAACAAACCGACAAAACTCAAGATCCATCATTTAATGAACAAACTATTGAGGATGACAATTCATATGACATGGATGAGGGGTTTACCATTTATCGTGAGGTAGATGATGAGTATCAATCAACTTTCTCAAATGAAGAACATGCAAAGTATAAAAATCTCATGGAAGCTTCTGAAAAAGGCATATACGAGGGGTGTACTACTTTTTCGAAACTTTCATTTCTATTGCATTTGTTTCACCTAAAGTGTATGGTCCATTGGTCTGCAGAGTCATTTAATAAATTACTTGAACTTCTAATTGACGCATTTCCCATTATTAAGGATTTTCCATCGTCCTATTATGAAGGCATGAAGATAATAAATGATTTAGGGTTAGGATATGAGAAAATCCATGCATGTCCAAATGATTGCATGTTATATTGGGGCGAATTCGCAAATAAAAGTGAGTGTCATATATGCAAGACATCAAGGTGGAAAATGTGAAAGGAAAGGAGGGTGATGTAAATGAAAAAGGAAAAGAAGCATGTAAGAAAGGCGAGGCAGCTAAAGTAATGCGGTACTTTCCCCTTATCCCTAGATTAAAGAGGCTTTACATGTCATCTAAAACTGCAGAGGACATGAGATGACACTTTAATCGTAAGGATGATAAGATTCTACGACACCCTGCTGATGGCGAGGCATGGAAAAAATTTGATGAAAAATATACAGAGTTTGCCGCTGATCCTCGCAGTGTTAGATTAGGCCTAGCGAGTGATGGTTTTAATCCATATCCTCTTATGAACACAAATTATAGTACATGGCCGGTGGTCCTCATTCCTTATAATTTACCACCATGGCTTTGTATGAAACCATCATCCTTTATTCTTTCTATAATTATTCCTGGTAAATTTGGTCCCGATATGGATATTGATGTGTACTTGCAACCACTAATCCATGAACTGAAATTATTGTGGGAAGGTGTTGATGCTTTTGATTCTTATAGTGGAAGCAATTTCAAACTGCGAGCAGCCCTGCACTCTACTATTAATGACTTTCCGGCTTATGCTATGCTGTCAGGTTGGAGTACGAAAGGCTACAAAGTTTGTCCTTCTTGCACTCATTCTACTTATTCAGATAGATTTGGTGGAAAAATTATCTACACTGGGTATCGAAAATGGTTGCCTATTGATCACCCATATCGTTCACAAGCTAATTTGTTTGATGGGAAAGAAGAATATGGTATTGCTCCGATTCGTACCAGCGGGACCGAAGTTTTGAAGCAACAAGAAGGGGTAAAGTATGTATATGGGAAGACAAAAAAAGTTCCTAAAAAAAAAGAGAGAAAAGAGCTGCCAATGAACTTGATGATGATTGCGATCCTGATGGTGATCATATTCTTTGAAAAAGAAAAGTACATTTTTTGAATTAGAGTATTGAGAGCATAATCCTCTTAGACATAATTTAGATGTTATGCACATTGAAAATAATGTGTCCGATATTTTATTAGGAACTCTTTTAGATATGGATAATAGTAGGGATGATGAGAGTGGCAGAGAATCCCTAAATAATTTGAATATAAAACCTCATCTATGGATCAACCCTCAAGGTTACATCCCGCCGGCTGCATACACCATGTCTAACGAGGAGAAAGAACGATTTTTGAAAGTCTTGAAAAAGATGAAAGTTCCTGATTGATATGGATCTAATTTGCAAAGATGTGTGAATCTAAAGCAACGGAAACTTATTAATATGAAAAGTCACAACCATCATATTCTCATGCAAGATATCCTCCCGGTTGCTTTAAGGGCGTCGAATGCCACAAGAGTTATTGACTTGCTTGAGGAGTTATCTGACTTTTTTAAAAAGATATGTTCAACTGCTATAGATACAAGAGAATTAGATACCATTCAATCAAAGATCGTGTTGACTCTTTGCAAGTTTGAAAAAGAATTTTTACCAACATTTTTTACAATCATGGTTCACCTACTAATTCATTTAGTGGAAGAGGTCAGACTAGGCGGACCGGTTCACTATAGATGGATGTATCTTGTTGAAAGGTACTTATTATTATTATTATTATTATTATTATTATTATTATTATCATTATTATTATTATTATTATTATTATTATTATTATTATCATCATTATTATTATTTGTATTATTTATTTTTATATAATAATTTTTCCTATTCTTTCACATTCACATACAAAATCGTTACTATAATTCAAGGTACTTGGCCTTTTTAAAATCTCATGTAAGCAATAAAGCGCAACCGGAAGGATCTATAGCGGAAGTTTACCTTTTGTGGGAGAGAATTGCATTTTGTTCGAGATATTTAGAAAGTGTTGAGACTATGTTCAATAGACCTAGAAGGAATGAGGATGGTGTATCAAACATTGACAACTATTTGTATAACTCTGGTGGTCGTTGTTGGAAAGAAAGAAAATGTCCGTTTGGATGATAGAAGTTTAAAGCAAGCTCATCGCTATGTTTTACTTCATTCTGATGAACTAACCCCGGTGCTCAAGTAAGTAGCATTATGTGTGTAGTTAAAGCGTCCAATATATACTTGTTACTAACATAAAATTTACAATCTCGATAGTGAGTTCCTAAAACTAAAGAGGCAAGAGAATGACGTTGGAGGAAGTCAAGCTGATGAATCTATTGAAAATCAGTGGATAATTGATGAATTTGCATATTGGTTGCAAAGCCAGGTCATATGCTTTTACATTTAGGGTCTTTTTATTTTCATACTATACAACTTTCTAATTCTAACTTTATTATTCTCGAATTATAGGTCCATAATTTAGATGATAGCACGGTAGATGAAAAGTTAAGAAAGCCTTAGCCGGTGGCTTGAGTAACCGCGGGAAAAGGATGAAAAGTGTTATTATCAATGTTTACAAATTTGATATTGTGGATCGTGAGCGATTTCGAGTAACTCAGAATTCAGGAATCATGGTGGCAGCAGAGGGTCACGAATATTATGGAAAACTCAAAGAAATTTTGGAATTAGATTATTATGGTTCTTATAAGGTTGTATTGTTTCGTTCTGATTGGGTCGATATCCGTAGGGGTATCAAAACAAATCCGAATGGAAGTGTTCGTATCAATTTCTCAAAGTTGATGCACACTGGTCGATTTTTGTGTGATGTTCCATTTGTTTTCTCATCTCAAGCAAAACAAGTTTTTTATATTGAGGATGAGATACAAAAAGGGTGGTGTCATGTTGTGAAAACTAAGCCTAGGGACTTGTTTGATATACCTGAATAATTTGTTTACAAATTTTATAATTTATTATAGATTTGAGTTCATAAATTTGGATGGGTGTGTATTTTTATATTTCATTTAGTTATTCTAATTCATCAAAGTTTGTATTTTATTAACTTAATTTCTGTTTTTATGGTACTAAGCTGTATTATGGTGTTGGTTTCTTATTGGTCGAATAAGAACTTAAATCAGATCTGAATACCAGAACTGAATTCAGAGCCGAAATCAGAACTGAAATCTAGAACTGAATTTAGATCTGAAATCAGATCTAAATTCAGAACTGAATCTAGAACTGAATTCAGAAGTGAATGCAGAGCTGATCTTCAGAACTGAAAATCATTTCTGGAATTCAATTCCAAATTGCATCTCTGAACATCAGAACTTGTGTGTGTGTGATTATATTTCAGTACATGTTGTTTCTATTGGGTGTGATAATGAATTTCACTTCTGATTATTTAGCAATTAACTACTACATATTGGTATCTAGTTTATCTTACTAATGAAATTTTATCTCATGATAATTTTTTATGCATATTGCTAAATTTGCCATTAGTATCATACTGATATATATCGTGCTTTCTTAGTGGAAACTTGTAGTTGTCTCACAAAAGGATCTTAGATGAGTGTGGTCTGGTTTAATCTAATTGAAGATGTTAGCTTTTATAACTACTACGTTGATTAGTTAGTGTGCTCAGATTCAATATTGGCACGTTCTTACATCGAGTTTGCTTACTTTCTGCTTTTGCTACACTTGGTGGCAAGTTCTTAGCTCTCTGCCAATTCTGCCATTTCATTTTTGACATACTAATGTAGCTTGTCTTATGGTTTTATCAGGTTATCATATAAAATGCTAAAGGTTTAAGATCATTTTTGACATACTAATGTAGCTTGTCTTATGGTTTTATCAGGTAAAAGATGACTTATCGAAGCAAGAGAGCAAGGGAAATGCTTGCTGCCACAGCTAAGTCAAATGCTACTGAAGTTGTTTCACAACCCACCAAAAAACAAGCTACTAAGTCACCACAGACTGAGGTACTTAAGGATGACAAATGGGGACCTTTTTCTCCACCCAATACCACAACAAAATCTGACCAACAACCACCTAATAGTTTGGGATCCGTTTGGAAAAACCATCCTGGTTCAACATCGAGTTCAGTCAAAGAGGCAACTACATCAGGTTATCATAATAAATACCCAGCAAAAGTCCCACCTAATATTCCACAATCAAGTAGACCAAACACTACTAGAAAAAGGCTGATTTCCGACGGAATTGTTCCGACGGACACGAAATTCCGTCGTAAACTTCGGAATTTTCGACGGATTTTTATTCCGTTGTTTATTTCCGACGGATTTTAACATTCTGTCGGAAATCCGTCGGAAACTTACGACGGAACAAAAATCTGTCGGTATAAATACACTTTCCGGAGGAATTTTCCGTCGGAATATTTAATTTCCGACGGAATTAAAATCCGTCGGAAATTTCCGACGGCAAATTCCGTTGGAAAATTAATTTTCCGACGGAATCAAAATCCGTCGGAATATATGATTTTATATATTAAAAAAACCCGGCCTTTTATAATCTTCTAGGGTTTTCTCCTCCTCTCTCCAGCTTCTCTTTCATCCGCCTCCTTTCTCCTCTCTCTCTTCCGCTCTTCTTTTTCTCTCTCTTCCACTTCTTCTCTTTCTCTGTTTCTCTCTCTCCTCCGCTCCTTCTCTTCCTCTCTCCTCCTCCATCTTCTTCTTCTTCTTCTTCTTCTTCTTCTTCTTCTTCTTCTTCTTCTCTTTCCTTATTTCTCTTCTATTTCTTGGGGTTTTTATGGTCAAAAATCGGCATTAATGGTTTCTTTGGTCAAATTCGACCATGAAAAGTGTAGATCTAGACTTTTCATGATCGAATTTGGCCTATTAAAACCAAATTTCAAGAATTCGAAGCCAATTTCAGTAAATAAGGTATTTTTTCGAGTCTTCTTTTTTTTTTTTTGGTTTTGTGGTGGCTTGGTGCCGTGGTGGTTTCGTTTTTATGGGTTAGGTGGGTTGGTCCGTTTTATGAGTTAGGTGGGTGGTCGGATCTGGTGGTTTGGTTGGATGTGGTGGGTTTTATGGGTTAGGTGGGTTATAGTTAAATGGGTAAGGGTTAAATGGGTTAAGGTGGTGGTAGATCTGGGTTATTGGGTTAGGGTCGTGGTGGGTCTGGTGGGTGGGTTAGTTCGGGTTAGGTGGGTTAGGGTTGAATGGGTTAAGGTGGTGGTGGATCTAGGTTATTGGGTTAGGGTCGTGGTGGGTCTGCTGGGTGGGTTAGTTCGGGTTAGGTGGGTTAGGGTTAAATAGGTTAAGGTGGTGGTGGCGGCTTAGAGTTTGGCTTAAGGCTTGTGGGGTGGCAGTGGGGGTTGGACGTGGTGGTGCGTGGTGGTGTGGGGGTGGGGTGGGTTTTTTTTTTTATTTTTGGCTTGTGGGGTGGCAGTGGGGGTTGGACGTGGTGGTGTGGGGTGGGGTGGGTTTTTTTTTTTTTATTTTTTTTGGTAGAAGTTTCCGACGGAAATTCCGTCGGAATTTTCCGACGGATTTGGTTTCCGTCGGAAATTTACGACGGACTTTTTCGGGCCCCAATTTGTCTTCCGATGCATGATTTCCGTCGGAAATTTCGTCGGAAATGTGTTTCCGACGGAAATTTCTTCGGAAAAGGCCATTTTCCTACGAAATGTTTTCCGACGACACGTTTCGACGGAATTCCGTCGGAAACCCTATTTCCGACAGAAAACAGGGTGTTTCCGAGGAATTTTTTCCAAACGACACTTTTCTAGTAGTGAAACTCATCATTGAAATCCCTTTCTACTTCTCATAAACCTCCCGAGCAAGCTGTGAGACGAGGAATTCAGAACCTTGAGACTGGTGCTGTTAAAACTTCAGTAACAGCTCCACAGAATAATCAAGATCGACAAAACAGTGGGAAAGAATCAGAGAAGATCCCGAAACAATCTAAGTCTTTACGACCAAAAGCACTTATGGATTGGCCCATAGACATAGATTTTGACGACAAGGAGGAGGTTCTAACCATAGGTAAATATTTTTATTAAAGTTGTCTGCTGCTTGTTGTTGTTGTGGTGTGTTTCTGCCTTGTTGCTGCTGCTTGTTGTTGTTGGGGGGGGGGGGGGGGTTCACCATTTTTTCGGGTTCAAATAGATCGCTTAATGACTGGGTTCCGGTCGAAATTGTTGAGTAGTTCCTGAAACCCTTTTCCCATTTCCACAAAATATCAAACACCACAAAATATGAAACCCTTTTCCCATCATTATGATTTATAAAGTTTCTGTTTTTAGAGAATTCGATTTGACAGAATGTATGTTTTGAATTTACAATCTTCTACTCTATTTTATTTGCTCAATTTTTTTAATTTCATTGGGTGTTTAAGGGTGTAGTTCGTTTAATGTTTATTTTTCTTTTCAATTTGCTGGTTTAATAAGAGGTGCTAATTTATACTGCTGTATTAAAACAGGAAGCTTTGAATGAAATTTGTAGGGCCAAAATTATGATTTTATCTACTTTGTAATTTTGATGGCAATGTTGCTGTTGTTGGTATATGATAGTACTGTATAATTGTTGTTATTGGATGATAATTTTATAAGTAGTGAAATCTATAATATTTTATTCTACTAATAGCAATTTCTTCAACCTTCCAATCCCAGATTTTTCTTATGTCAAAAAAATAAATAAAAAAATTGATAAAATTTTGGATTTCTTGAGAGTTTCTGATTTTGTTAACCTGTGATACTGTGAAAGGTTTTACAATCTACAGTTATAATTTCAATTTCTCATTTCTAATGATTGGGTGAAAAGGGAAGTTAATTTCAAAGACATAAATAGGCTTAGTTATTTAGAATTTTGAAGTTTTTTCTTTATGAAAAATTGAAGATGGTAGAAATTAGAAAAGTCTGGTGCATCTTTTGGTAAAAGTCTGGTGCTCCCCTGCTTCTTGCTGTACTGCTCCCCTGCTGCATGTTGTACTGCTCCCCTGCTGCTTGCTGTCTTGACATGTTATCTTCCATCTTTTACTTCTATATTTGAGCCTAAAACCATGATATAAAGCATGATGGACATGATAAACAACTTAGAGAAAAGTAATCTATTGTAGAAGTTAAAGTAGAAACTCAAAATATTAATCAATACTCGTTGACCCGTAGAATTCAGTTCACAAAAGGTAGTAAGCTATAATTTCAGATCTGCCTTAGCATGCCAAGCTTTAATATAATAGGATCACCTGAGTGAGATGATAGCATGGATTAGTTTTCCTCTGATTTGAGGCTATGTTGTTATAAATTAAGCGGCTGAGAATTGTAACTTAAGAACGATTACAAGAATGCTTGAGTATTTGATTAATTGAATTGAGGTTGGAAGGATACATGTGACTAATTAAGCTAAGAATGGAAAAACCTTCAAATGACATTGTTGGAGCAGCTTGCCTTCTTTCCATGAATTCTCTTAAATAACTTTGTCATGTTGCACATTGTCTCTGGCCACCTTTGACTCTTGCTGCCCCTGTTTTGTGCGCCTTCTTTCCCTGAATTCTCTTAAATAACTATGATCTTATTATTCGCATGAAGACCTAAGACCACACTCAGTTATCATAACTTCATGAGGAACAAAGCAATCTTTCTGAAGAAAACATGCACAAAAACTCTAAACTCCACTAACCAGATTCTATACCCTTTTATTTTTAAAACCTCATTGGAACTTCTGATTTATATGGCATTTCACCTTGCTTTCAGAGATGTGGTCAATTTCTGTGATTCAATAATATATCTTTATAAGTTGTGTTTTATTGTTTGCTTTAAGGTGCAATAGTCTTAATCTATTTGGTTTGAGGTATAACTGATAATATTACTATTACTTGCTGCTTGCCACTTAAGTTGTTTGCTAATCAACTTAAACTGATTATTTCTTTTAACTTAATTTTGTTATTTTATTTAGATGCCAAGGGTAATTCTACATTAGTAAGTGGTATTATTCTGCCAATTGATGTATGGAGTAATAACGACGTCCAGTACTATGTCGAATTCAATGATTTATGCCAGCCAATTAGGAAGGGTGGACATATTTTGGTTAAATTCATTAGTATGATTGCGAAGATGGAGTCACATTGTCCAGTTGGGGAAAAAGATTGGAAAGCAATCGACAAGCATTTTAAAGGGAAAACAATTAAAGACATAAGAGTGGGTATAATCATCCCTAAGACATCCCCTTGTCATTGCCTAAACACACATACTTAGCCGGTCTCTTACTTCTAATAGATTACTTACTAATTTATATTTTTAACTAATTATTTTTACTGAAGGACCGTTTTGTGATTCCTCCTAGTGTGGAATATGACAACCAAGCTCTCAAGCGTGCCAATAAATGTTGGAGGCAGTTCAAATATTCTCTGAAACTGATTCATTACAAGCCACTAGAGAAGAAATTGGATGATATGTGTAATAATGTGCCACATGGAATTACCAGTAGTAACTGGGTTAAGTTGGTAAAATATTGGGATTCGGATTACGGGAAAGTAAGGACAATATTTACCTTATTGTTTACTCTATTAAACGTTATTTAATCTCTAACTAAAAAAACTGAAAATATGATTGCAGACTATGTCAGAATGCGGTAAAAAGGCACGAGCTTCTCTAAATCAGATTCATACATCTGGCTCTTTAAGTTTTTCAAACCAACAAGCTGATTATGTATGGAATATATATATGTCATTTTATATTTACTTAGGATGTTAGTAAGAGCAAAGCCAAGTTATATGCGTTATATACTATTGTACACATATTTAATGCTTGTTTTGCCTTATTATTTATAGGAAGATGAACATGGAAAAAAAATGAGCTTGTTAGCACTGTGGATTAAAACCCATGCGGGTAAAGACGGAAAATTTCTTCCTGACACAGTCACTCAAGATTTTGTGGTATGGTTTTGTGACAGATTTCTTGTATCATTTTGTGTAGATTTTGTGGTGTGATTATGTGTTATTTGTGGTCTTACATTACTCCTAAATGTTGTTATAGGATGATGTTAAAGCTAAGGTTGAAGAGTTGAGGATGGTGCACCCTAAGATGTCTGAACAAGAGCTCGAAGATGAAGCATTTCAGCAAACTATGTATGGCAATGAGATTCCCGATCATCCGGTGGGTTACGGACAAGGGGTTAAAAAGGGGGACATTTTCGGAGTACGTGGTGTGTTAAGGAAGGAAGGCTATGGAAAAGTTCAAAAGAGGACTATTGTGATGGATAGTGTTAAAGAAGAAGTGAATGCTTTGCACAAAAAAAAATGATACACTATCTCAAGAAAATGAAAAGCTGAAAGACGAGGTCGGACACAACAATCTTCTTCTTAAAGCGCTTGTTGGACAATTTTCTCAGATTGTAGGTCCAGTTCGTCAAGGGAATGCATCTCCAGGTCTTCTAAACAAAGCATCTGAATTCTTAGGAAAGGCAAAACATCAGGTAACATTTAGAGCTTGTGTGAATGCTTGCTTGTGATGTGTGTGTGTGTGCCCTGCTCCCCTGCTACTGCTTGTCCTGCTCCCCTGCTGCTTTTATACTACTTGTCTGCCCTGCTCCCCTGCTCCCCTAATATAATCTAATATGCTACTGCTTACTTTGCTTTGAGGCGGGATCCTTTGCATTTACTATGGTAATTGGATATTTCTGCATGAGGGTTAGAATCGTTTGGGGGATAGGGGATTAAGGGAATGGATGTTTCAGCAATTGGTTGATTCCTGAATGTAAAGATGCATATATTGGTTTGTTTTGGTTGCTAGTTTTAGAGCTCTATGTAGTTTAGTGAATGGTGTTGATTTGGTCTTTGTTGTTTAGGATTCTGGTTTAGAATCAGGGAAACCAACTATTGAGTGTGCTATATGAAAAGGCGTAGCCAGTAGAGTAGTTTACTGGGTTAGTGACCAGTAGAGTATGTGAATACGATTAAAAAATAAAAAATGATGTGCTCTTCAAGGCTTCAAGCTATAGTAGCTGTTTTTATTGATAGATAGGAACCCTGCCATTTTTGGTATATGGCTTACAGACTTGCAGTGCATAAAAATTACAATGCATCTTTGAGGATTTACAATCATAAGATTAGGAAAAATAATGATATTAGTAATGGTGGGGTGAAAACTCAGTTTTTTTCATTGGATATTCTTTTCACTTGGAATACTACTTGTTACCATGTTTAATTGAGATGACTAATGACCATCTAATCTGATTCTGGTTAGCCAAAATCTGGCCTGAAGGCCCTGCCATATGATTTTATTTTATACTTGCAATGATTTGTATAAATAATACTCAATTTTATTGCTTGAATCAAGTTTCCTGGCATAGTTGTTTATACCTTGGAAAAAGTTTCCTGCCATATGATGACATGTATGTATGATTTTGCATAATGTGTTATGAAAGAAAGCACAAGCTGCTTTTTTTCTAGAGTTTTCGCATATTATGCGTGATTTGATTGCATTTGTTTTTGCTTGACAAAAACATATAATGTTGCTCTTGCTTGCTTTACTTTGGCAGCTGTTTTTTTCCTTGTTGTAAAGATGCAAACATTAGCTTGTTCCGCAATAGCTTATATTAAATATTATAGTACCTCCTATGAACCATATCATCTTTGGAATGATCAGAACCTTAACCTCAAATAGATCTTGCTCTGCCCGTTTCCTGGCATCTGTTTGGGACTACAGCCACACAAACCAGATTAATATTTACAGCAGCACATACATTCACTAAAATAGCCATACAAACAACTAATTTGAGCCATGTAACACATCAGAATCGCAGGGTTCGAGTCAGCAACAGAGGATGTATTAGAGTAGTTGCATTTAAAAAAAAAAAAAATGTATATCCCTGCATTGCACTATGAACGTAGGAGCAATTTGATAACTCTCATCTTAGTGTACTTACTGAAACAAAAAAATGCTGTGATATTTTATGTGTTGTTCTGGTTATTGTTTTGTTGTTTGTAATTTTTAGCATGCTGTGATATCTTCTGTGTTGTTCTGTTCTGGTTATTGTGTTCTGTTTTTGGCCATTGTGCTCGGGTTTGGTACAAGTTGATTTAAGGACATTCATCGTGGTCAGACTTCGTTAAATCAATTTATTCATAGCTGTTGCTGCTGCTTTCCAGCTTCCAGGCAATACCGAGTTAAAACTTCTTGATACTTGATCAGTAATGCCTTGTTTGTTGTTCTTAAGTGTTTTTGCTGTTTGCTTTTGTTAGTTTGCTTTTAGCTATCATCAATTTGACTATGAGCTTTATTATGGCTGAAGTTTGGGGATAAAAATGTCTTTGTTGTTAGAGTTGTTACCTCCCCCATTTTGAATTTGTTATGTGATTGTTGAAGTCTGATGATTTTACTTGCTCTAATTTTTACAAAAAAAAAAAAAAAAAAAAAAAAAAAACAAAATTTCTCATAAAAGATGGATGAATAAATAAGACAAGTAAAATGAAAGTGAGACGAATTCAAACAAAGCTGATGTACATATATCTATATGAAGTATGAACTGATTGTGATCAAGTTATTCATGTGTAATGGTGGTTGCTCTGGTAAAAAATGATTTAGACTAATTTATATTTTGTATTTTTTTTTTTGAAGATTGGAAAAGGCAATGTAGGTGCAACAAAAGAATAGGCTGGGACACTTGAGCATCAACAAGCGACAATATCGATCAATGTGGCCATCATCTATCTATTTTGGTTTTTAGTCTTATATTAGTGATGTATTTATTTAGGGACAAGCTACATACTATAATATGCGACCTTTTTTTATTGATCGATTGTACTGTGTTGATGTTTTCTTTTCTAAATTTGATAATTAACTACGTACTCTTTTTATTGTTGATTAATTATTGTTTTTTTTAATCTAGTTATATAGAATTTTTGTTTATTTTTATTTTAATGTTATTAATTAATTTAATTTATGATAAATTTAAATAATTATAATGTATTTATGATGATAAATTGATAAAAGAAAAAAAAAAGCTTAAAAAATAAATCTAGACGCTTTTTAATGTCTACATAATTGCACATTTTCAAATTTCAAAGACTTTCCCGCCATACCATAGGCTGACACGAATAAACGCAAGACAACAAAAAGCGTCGCTAAATTTGATTATGTGGACAAGAAAAAGCGTCACTAAAAAACTACATACATTTGGGATAATGCGCGAAATACGTAATTTTCGACGCTTCGTATATTACTTTGGACAATAAAAAGCGTCGAGATTCTCGACGCTTTTTTGTGTCTGTAAAATTTTCGACTCATGGCTTTGGGACGCTTTTTTGCAGCGTCGAGAAATAATTTTTCGACGTTTTTTAGCGTCGAAAAAAGGCCTAAAAAGCGTCCAAAAAACACGCTTTTTGTAGTAGTGATTTATCAAATTTCCCTTGTTGGTGAGAGTTCCTATTTCTAAAGTTCCACTATATCCATCAAATCTTTGCCCATTGTTTTGGTTTAAAACAAATTTCACTTGTTCACATTCATTGTTATCAACATCATCACAGTTATCAAAAGCATATGGACAATTAGAAGCATCATGATCATATGATCCACATATATCACAAAACAAACAACCATTTGAAATATTTTTTAAAGTAGAAGAAGGAGTTGAGTTAGAAGATGTACCTCTGCCCTTGTCGTGGGAGGGAAGTATTGGTGCTTGTGACAAAGCACTCTCAAGCTTTATTTTGATCAAGGTCATCTCCTTTCCCAAGTTTGAAATTTGTGAGAACAAATTGTTGATGGCATAGAGATGGTCGATTGAATACACCGTAGAACCCCTTTTGCTTTTGGAATCTCTCTCACCTTCTTGCCAATCCATGTAGTGTCTTAATACATCCTTAATTATTTCCACCACATCCTCTTCCGTCTTGTTCATGATAAGGCCTCTAGCACCGACATCTAAGAAAGATTTTCCTTGAGGGCTTAGACCTTCATAGAAAATTTGGATGATTTGATAGGTGGGAATCACATGCCTCATATAAGCTCTCATTCCCCTTTTGCTTGAAGCTTTGAATGAGCTTCCTTGCTTCGGATGTCTTCTTTTGTCGATAGAAACGAGATAGAAAATGTTTATCATTTTATCCAATGTCCTCAAAGAGTTTGATTTCACCTCTTTATCCAACCACTCTAGAGCACATCAAATGTGAGAAAAGGGAAAATTTTAGTCGAGTGAACTCTTGAGTAACACCATTAACGTTAATGGTATTACTATACTTCTCAAATTTTTTAAGATGGTTAACGGGACTCTCATGCTTGGCTCTACTAAATTGACGCTTTTCTATCAATGTAATCATCGTCGATATATTTTCAAAGTCATTTTCTAGTGTTGTGGGAGGGAAATTCCACTTCAAACTTATGGGCTCCCGAAGTTCCTAACTCATTCAATGCTACTCTCGGATTAGCACCCATGCTATGTCGTTCTTCTTCTTCTTGATGGTCTTCCTCTCTTGAAGGATTTGAGCTTAAGGAATGATTAACAACCCTTATCTTTGTTATCGTTGTCTTAATTTCCGAATTAAATGGTATTAAAATTCGATCTCATGCCCTACGCATACAAATCCTAACAGAAAATATTAATTGCACGACCAATAATGTAGCCTAAAAGAAGCAAAATCTTTTTGTATTTTTCAAGTGAGATGGCAAAGCTTCATCAACTATAACAAATAACCATGCCATCCCCGACAACGGCGCCATTTTGACATAAGGTGGATTCTAGGCCTCTGGATTCTAAAATTTATTCAATCAAACAAAACTTATAACAAAAACTACTCCTAGTATAGGGGTAAGTCCTAGTCAAACCCAAAGGAATAGAGGCATATGCTATGGTCTTATGTCAAGCTACTTCAAAGATTGAATATTAGATTTTCGCCACGTGTCCTTCATGTAGGCCAATAGGAGCCTGCCACGTGTCATCAAGAGATTCGTCCTCCTTGGACCAATTGCAATGTGACACGTGTCCACCCATGCCAAATGGGAAAACCGGCCAACAAGGCCCAATCATTGTGGGAGGCCCAGTCAGCCTTAGGTTTAACCTAAACCTAGTACTGGCACGCATCCCAAGGCATATAAATATGCCCATTAATCCTCATTAAGGGAGATTACGCACATTTAACACTCTCACCTAGAGAGACCCAATTACTTTTATTTCCGCATTAATTACTCCTTAATCAAGTACTAACTTGACCGTCGGAGGCGGATCTCCAATCGTCCGGAGCATCCGTTTGTTTTGCAGGTACAGGCGTCCGGTTCCAGTCTCAGAATTGTAACTCTCCCGCAGGACATCAGAAAACCCGAAACATTTTGGCGCCGTCTGTGGGGAGAGTACTTCTGAGATGGCATCCACGTCTGTACCGACTCCTGAAGAGAGGCGTCCCCTGGACGACCCAAGTTCAGTCGGACCATGATACTGAGGAAAATTTGAAGTTGAAGCTCACACAGCTTCAGACGGGACCCTAAGGGCCCGACGCACCCGTCATACCGAAAGGAGAGAACGGGAAGATCTTCAAACTGGACTCAGTGATCCAGCCGGCGCACCGCCTGTTCAGCAGCAGCCGGCTGATGGGTCTGCTCCCATTACAAGAAACGAACTCATGACCTTCATGAGGGGCTTCAAGGGAGAGATTCAAGAGTTGCTCAACAAGAAGCCGCCTGCTCTGGCCAAGGAGCAGTCGGCTAAGAAACCTTCCTCTTCAGGGAAGAGGAAGCCTGTTCAAGGGCGAGAGGCGACCCCCTCATCCTAACTCTAGGAAAGTGGGAGCCGCCTGTCCTTGATTTCACAAAGTACCGGCTTTCCTACTCTAGGAAAGAGGAAACCTGTCCGTCATATTCGGGCGGACGGTCGAAGAAAACATACACAGATGCTTGGCTATTGCTAGAGCAGAAGAAGAATGATTGATTGTCAGAGTCGGCCTCTACTTCAGACTTCCAAGACAGTCTAACGCAATACCTCGATGAGGTATACTCAGTCGCATCATGAGAGTCAGTTAGGCGGTACCTCCCGTCAGTCCGGCTTTTCATAGTGACCAGGCGGTACCAAAACTTACCATTTGTACAGCAACAACAATATTTTTTGCAGCCACCTCTGTTTGGAGGGCATGCAGCAAAGAATGTCCAACCTATGGACTGGCAGCTACGGTTGCTTAGAACTTGGGGAACAACCGTCGACCTTCTCCAAGGAAATTACTGAAGCCGCTCAGCCGGCCAAAGTGAAAAATGTATTAGTAGGCGCCTATGACGGCACTACTAACCCAGAAGACCATTTGATGGCGTTCACCAACCTGATGTACCTTCAAGGGTTGGATGATCCCACTTGGTGCAAGTGTTTTTCCAGCGACTCTCAAAGGAATCGCACAACAATGGTTCGGCAACCTGTCGACTGGTTGCGTGAATAACTTCAGGACGCTTGCTTACTTATTCACCTCCAACTTTGCCATGAACATACCTGCGAAGAAGACGACCCTTGATTTAGGAACGATTCAGCAGGGCGAGAAGGAGGGGATTCGTTCTTACATAAGGCGGTTTAACCTGATGAGAATACAGATTCAAGGGTTACCGGATGAGGTAGCCTATACTGACTTTTTCAGAGGCCTCAAAGACGGGTCGACATTCAAATTTGATTTGGTTCGAAAGAGGGTGGCGACTCTTCAAGAGGCCTTGATTGAAGCGGAAGCCTATATACAGGCGACTGATCTTTGTAGTACGGGAAAACAGTCCGACGGGAAAAGGTTCGACAAAAGAGAAGGACGACAGAAATAGTCGTCGAACAAAGATGAGAAGAAGAGAAAAGAGGTCTGAGCGGCTGATTCCTCTAAACAGCCGGCCCAGAAGAAGAGGAAAGAATTCAAACCATACTCCCCAAAGTATGCATTAAACAAGGATAGCCAAGCTATCCTAAAGGAAATCATGGGACGGATCTCAATTGAGAAGCCGGCCCCCATGAAGGGTTCTGCGAGCAACCGGAACCAAGAAAAATTATGTGATTATCATGAAGATGTTGGTCATCACACCAACGAATGCATCAGTCTCATGCGGTATCTGGACCGCTTGGCTGAGCAAGGCGATCTTGACTCTTATGTCAAGAAATCTACGGGGAACACTTCCTCGAAAAAGCAGTCGGCCAAAAAGAGTCAACAGGCCGACATCTCTCTGATACAGATGATGCAGTCGTCTACACCATTGCAGGCGACTTCTCAGGAGGCGGCCCCACTATTAGGGGCAACAAAGACAATATCAGGCGGCTAGACGTAAATTCCGTTCACCAAGAACGACCCTCCAAATATTCATTTCCTGAGATTGTCATCACTGAAGAAGATCTAGGAGGGGTAAGGGGGCCGCATGACGACCCTATTGTTATTGAATGTAAAGTGGCCAACCAGAGAGTTGGCCGAATCCTTATAGATACCGGAAGCTCCTCAGATCTTATCAGTAGAAAATGTCTGTCAAAACTCAAATATCAAGACTGATTGCATACATCCGGCATCCCACCCTTTAGTAGGGTTTGGAGGAGGAGTCGTTCACCCAGTGGGACGAGTGGATTTACCCATCCGCCTGGGTGAAAAAGGGGAAGGACGACACATGGTAGTCCGGTTCCTGGTAGTAGAAGAACTCTCGGCATACAACATGATTCTGGGATGACCAACCCTGAATAATTCCAAGGCTGTTATAATCCCATCTCTTATGTTGCTCAAGTTTGAGAGGGATGATGGAACAGTCGGGTCCCTAAGGGGAGATCAGAGGATGGCCCGAGAGTGCTATCTCTCGGATATCA